AGTGCCAAGTGCTTGCACACCGCACAAAGATCTGTTGCTGTAGCATTCTTGCATTCACATTGCTAAAATTTGTGAGAGTGAAAAAGTTATGAGAAGCTTATGATCTTGTGTAGCTTTAACTATTTAAATGATGTTTATATGCATCTTAATTTGCCAAGTGATGCTTGCTTTGCAGCCAAAGAGTCTTCTTCACCTACTGACCTTGTGGATAAGCTTGTGGACTTTGGCCTGTCCTCATCCAATGATACTCTTTTATTTGCTAAAGAAATATTTGCAAGAGTTCCTCACAAACAATCTGGTTTAAGTGTAAGTTTTTTCTGAACTTTTTTTCAGAATTTATCTCTGTAGTAAGTCTTTGATGCTTGCTTTGATACTACATAACTTTTTGCTGTTTTGCATCTTTTTTGAGTTCAAGTTTTATTGATATTGCAAGGTTTTAGCTTTGTTGGACAGTATGAAAGGTTTTAAGAATTTTGATTAAGCGATTTTGTGTTCTACTAAGGCAGTGGCAAGTTTTGGACGTTTTTTAAACTTTAGGTTGACAGTTGGTAGTGTGTTACTTGCTTAAATTTCTTATTTTTATATATAAATGCCTTGTCTTGGATATGATGTTATGAACAATCTTTTTCCTATTCGGTTTGGTGGCAACTAAGCTCTAGCAGAGTGCTGGCGGTGTTAGCTAAGTTCTAGAACCATTTGACAAGTCTCCAAAGAATTTTTGTTATCTTTGGTTGGGCCTCAGCGAAGCTTCAATTGGGTACCAATATGCTATGGTATATAAACCAGAAAAAAAATTGTAAGATGAATTCCAGCATTTGAAATCAAACTAATTAGATTTTAGACTCGTTACTTAAAAAAATATGTTGGTGAATCCATAGGGATCTTAAATTTCATCCAATCTAATAGTCTTATCATCTGTTTATCTTCATGTTGATCCTGGCTTAGTTATTCTTTTCATCGAATGCAAGTAAGTTTGAACTTTAGTTAAACTTGACTCAATTATATTAGATATGAATTAGTCAGTCTTCACTTGGGATTGTCGCTTTATTGTTCTCTTGTTTTGTTTGGTAGAAAATAAAGTCATCTTACTCTCAAAGAGATGCATGATTTGTCATGCAAGTGTGTTTTTTATGGCCATGAAGCCTTGCATGAAATGCATATTCTGTTAAGCACTTTACTTTTTTTCACCAATTTCCTCTCAAATCAAAATGTTTATTGAACAAGGATTTAATTTTAATCATATACATTAGTAGTCCTTAATTTACTGATATGGTGTGTATGTTTGTTCGTTAAGCTTGATGCATCATCAAAATAATGACCGAGAATGATTAGAATTTAATCAAGCTATGTAAGAAGGTCTCTGCATTACCATTTGTTCTTTATCCATGCTTGCTATAAATGCCTCACTTATTTTTGGAAGGATTTAATAGATGGAAGCAAACTTTATGCATAATAAGAATGTAATAAAATGCTTAATAAAAGCCACATAGTTGCACCACTTTTGAACTGTTTCCATTTTGTTTTAGAAAACAAGTGATGGATGTTTCGGCCTGTCTGCCCTTGTACATTGGACTCTCAATTTTTTGCTGTTGTGAAAGTGGTCAATGACCTACTAGAATTAGTATAAAGGGAAATAGTGCGTGATGGAACCTGTGTTTCTCCAACTAAAAAGTCCTGTGATAGGATTCTTTGATACTATTAGGATTTTATAAATAAGCTTCTAACCTTATACTAGAATAAGGCCATTAATGAGCTTAGCCATCTTAATCATCCTCGTAAATCTCACACTGCAAGACAGGCTTTTCAAATTGAATAATGTAATTAACAATTTGCTGAGAATCTTATATACAATTCAAGAGAACTTTGTTGGGATGTATTTTATGTTGGAGCGACAAATATTTCTCCCCATGTTCCTTCATCTCTGTGCAAGTTGAGATGAGAGCATTCCCTTATAATTCAACATTATGAATAATGGTATTTTTCTATTGTTTTGCTGACTTCGTCAACATACTGAAGGTTGTTTGTCTCACGCCAAACAAAGAATTCCCAATCAGGCTATTGATTATCTGCATTTTAAGTTGATTATTTTGAGAAAGTTGCTCATCAAGACAATCTTGTATTTGTCTCGTGATAATAGGCAAAAGACAACACAGTGTGAATGTACAACCTAACTTGATAATTAAATGATATGATTGATTTAGGTGAATTAGTTATAAGTAAATTTCATTGAAACCGGTTTAGTTTACATATAAATATGAATTCAAGGTAAGTGATTCTAAATATCAAAAAAATAATTTTGTTCAATATCCTATTATGATAAGTAATATAAAATTTATTATTACACTTAGTTCAGTTGAATGAAAATCTCATAAAGCGAGGGTAGTTTTCAAGACTGACTATAATATATTCAATGGAGGCTAACTTATCATTTGCTTATGAAAAATTATATGATTTCTGCACACACACACTAACATCAGTAGAGATTATATCTTATCTTAGTAGGGTCTAGGCATTCTGTATTTTCTTGTAAGTAGAAAATCTATTGGTTGAAGAATTGAGGCAACAACAATAGTTGGCAGTAGGTGCGTGAGGGTAATGTGATTACTAGAAATGTGTGAGATTGCTCTTTAGAAATTGAGGAATTTGAAGCAGAAGAAATTAGGCGGAATGTTCATTATGATTAGTTAAGACTGCAATTACAAGATGGTGCGAGAGATAGGCAATGTTTGGAAAAGGAGACACAGGGTTCTATGAGCAATGCGTGACTTGTCTACGTGATTGCATGAATGATTTTTGGGTTGCATTTAGAGGTAAACACAATGTGATGCTTAAGTGGGTAGGAGGGACAATCATGATGTTTTTGTTGTGTGTGAAATTTGTGTGAGCTGGCTAATGATAAGATGATAATGGACATGCGAAGTAAGATTTAGCATGTATATAAATGGTTGCGTGCGCTATGCCTTCAAGTTGAATCGAATGTTTAAAGATTTTTGAGAAATACTGATAGGACCACGAGGCTTTCGTGTTTTGTGGGTTTAAGCTGGATTAAGTTAACAATATTTGGATGAGATTTCATTGGCAATTAATGTGAGCACAAGTGGCTAGTGTGTAGCGGGATATCACAAAAGATTGGTGCAAGAATTGGTATTATAAGACAATTAGCAATCGCAATTGTGGAATGTAGTGTTGCAAGTTTGAACAACTTGGTGAAAGAAATGCTAAATTCTAGCTCTGGCAAAATTGATAGAGGTGAGTTGATGAAAGAGGGAATGATAAAGAGAAACTTTATGTAAACAACTTGAACGATTTTTGTGTTAATTTTGATCAGTAGAATGCTTAATTATTTTCACAGATAATTTTTGTGAATCATTCATCAATAGTGTTATGAGTATATATTATCAATCTCTATTTATAGAAATTGTTTTACAAATATAATATCAAATAACATGAATTTAAAACTAATTTTATTTGAAAGTAAAGCAAATCCTGATATTATCCATAAGAAGAATGTTCAATCTTTTCAAAAAGAATAAATATTTTTGAAAAATTGGCAAATAATGAAATGGTTTTAAAGGGGTTTTCAGATTTCTAATTTAGCCCTATTTTATCTAGTTTGACTCT